ACCAATAGTCTTTTCTTTTTTTTTTTTAATACTTTACTTTTAGACAGAGGGGAAGGGAGGTAGAAAGAGAGGGAGAGAAGCATCAATGTGTGGGTGCCTCTTGCATGCCCCCTCCTGGAGACCTGGACCGCAACCCAGGCATGTGCCCTGACTAGGAATCGAACCAGCAACCCTTTGGTTCGCAGGCCAGAATTCAATCCACTGAGATACACTAGTCAGGGCCCAATAGTGAGTCTTATCTACTTCTGGACTCATAGGAGGAGTATGGCGCCCTTTGTCCTTGAAGTTGGGTGTGGCCATGTGACTGGATTTGGCCAATGAAGCATGTGTGGAGGTGATTTGCGTCACTTCCAGGTGGGGTGGTCAATGAATTACCGGAGCTCCACTCTTCAGCCCTTTCTCTCCCTTCCTGGGCGGTTCTGGGAGCACGAGCTGATAAACAGGGCCACGAGAACAGAAGGCCGGAACCCTGGGCCACCCAGGGGACCACTGCGCTGGGGAGTCACCGCGCCCATGGCAGGCTTTGTGTGTGCGAAGCAAACTCCTATTGCGTTAAGCTACTAAGATCTGGGGGTAACCGAAAGCCTGCCCTGACCACATTAAATGCAAAAGGCCTCAAATCCTTTCTGAACAGAAGCTGAGTTATAAATACACAGGCAAACACAGAAACGAACCCCCAACAAAAGCCCATTTGAGAGGAAAGATGTTTGTGAAGGGACCATTTACCAGCGAGGCTGTCAGTCTCCTCCTCTGAGCAGAACTCAACGCGTGTTCTTGCTCCAGGTCTGGTCGCCAGTCTCTTGTGAAAGCAGCACCCCTGAGCGTGTCCTACCATTCTGCTCCCACTTTGTAAATCGTGGTGAAACACACCGAATGTTTGCCGTTTTAACCGCTCACAGGTGCACGATTCCATGGCGTTGAACACAGCCACAGTGTTGTGTGACCCCGAGCACTATGTACACCCAAAACTCTGTCCATCCTCCCCAACAACGACGCCTGCCCAGTCAGCAAACCCTCTCTCTGGCCCCCCGACCCCCGGTCACCTGTTCTGCTTTCCATCCCCATGGAATTCGCTTATTCTAAGTACCCCGTGTGAGTGGAATTAGGTGATATTGTCCTTCTGTGACTGGCTTGTTTCATTAAATACAATGTCTTCGATCTATCATCCCTGTCGCAGGATACATCAAAACTTTATTCCTCTTCATGTCTGGATAGTCTGCCATCGCACGTAGGCACCACATGTGTTCACGCATTCCTGTGTCGATAACCCCCTGGGTCGTTTCCGCCTCCGGCTCCGGGGACAATGCCACACCGGACACGGCCGTGCAGACACCTGTGTGGGCTCACCCTCGGGACGGACCTGCTGGGTCACACGGTGACGCTGCGCTTCTCCTTGTGAGACACCGCAGAACTGTTTTCCGCTCATCTTGGACTTTTAAATCGCAGGCCTCGACGAGACAACAGTTGCATGCAACCCTCAGGTGCCTTTTCCTAGAGAATGTTGTTTGGGAACATCAGCCGCTGTCTGAGCCATGTTTTCTCTATCAAATCTCAGGGGGAACCTTTGCTCTGCTCCGGGCTGGGCCGTGACTCTGCTGTGGTGCTTGCAACCAGATTTGCAGCTTGAACAGTCACTGTGGGCCCCTTGCCCATGCCACCTGGAATCCCCTTTATCACGTCTCGTCACACTGGCCTGACCTCAAAGGGCTGGTGCCTGCATCTCTGTCGTTGGGCTACCCTCGGGCTCTCTGTGAAAAATCAAGCCAGAAGTGCCCGGAAATTATAGGCTGTGCTTCTCTGCCCTCCATGCAGCTTTTAACCAGTTACTGACAGGTGTGGGTGCATACACACCCCCAGCTCCCTGGCCTGGGGTCATGCTGGGCCGTGAGTTTTACAGTTTTCAAGCTTCCACTTGGGATTAAGTACAGGTATACCTCGTTTTATTGTTTCGCTTTATTGTGCTTTACAGGTGTTGCATTTTTTACAAATGGAAGGCAAGACCTTCTACAAGCAAAAAAAAAAAAAAAAAGTTACGACTCTCGTTGTTACGGTGGTCCAAGCCGAACCTGGCGTATCTGGGAGGTCTGCCTGTATCTGCCGCCCACGATGTTCCTGCCCGACAGCACACCTGTACAGACTGACTGCCTTCTTCACTTGCCTGTTTTCCTCGCACCTGCCAATGAACTCAAAGTGTTGCCTCAGGGCCCACTTCCGAGCAAACCTAAACTGAGACGAAGCTCCCTGCCCCCCGGCACCTTCTCCTGTCTCTGTTCTTCTTTCTCCTGATTCTGAAGTGTTATTTGCATTTTATGATGATTTTATGGTATGCTTTCTTGCTGTGCTACCTCAACGTCTCTGCAGAATGAGGCAGAGTAGAGCCAGTTTTTACAAGAAAAACACCAGCATGTAATGCCGTGGTTAAAACACAAGCTGTAAATGGTGTGTAGGGAAAACAGAACAGAGAGCCATGCACCCAAATGTTAACAATGGTGAACCAGGGGTGATGTCATTACAGACGGTGTGCCTTCTTTCTCCTTTAGACTTTATTGTGCGAAGACCGTGACCTTTAGTTGCCTCGTCTACGACGTGGAGATGACCGCACCCACCTCATGCAGCTGGGCTGACTGAGACTGAGTGTGATCAGAACGCAGCGATCGGCTGCAGGACACATCCACACAGTAAGCAGTGTGTGCCTAAGACGTACCCCAGCAAAGGGTGACAAGTACGTTGTTACAGCAGGAACTAATGAAGCAGTTTCAAAGGCAATGTCAGAAATGTAACAATAAGCCCATACGTGCATCGTGCTTTGTAAAGAGCACTCCTTACTCGAGCTCACTGGCCCTCGAGAGCCCCCTGAGAAAGGGGGCAGGCTTAGGGGCAGGGACGGGCCGGAGACAGGACTAAGGTCTACTGTGCAACTACAGCGTGGCCCGAACCGAGGCAGCATTTGGTGGCCGTCTCCGACGATGAGGCGGAGGGGGCTCAGAGGGGCTCAGGCACCTGGGCAAGTCCCAGGGGCAGGGCCGACAGCTCCAGCTCCAGACTCTCTGTCCAGGCTTCCTTCTCGCCGCCAGGCTGCACTGTTACACTTGCACCTCGTACACGCCCACCGGCCCAGGCATTCTCCGTTCCTAAGGCACTGATGTTCGCCCGTCTATAAACACACTCCGCGCCCGCCTGCCTCGGTGTCCAAGGGGAGAACCAACGGGTGGTGTGTGTGGTGCGGGGGAGGATTTAGCCCCCCAGTCTCCCAAAGAAACCATCCCACGTAACTATTCAACCTAAATAAAAACTCTGTAGCACTTGCCATATAAACACAGCGGATTCAGGGGACTTCCACAGCAACACTTGCCAACCACTTGGCTCACCCAAGTTGTCCCTGCACAGAAGTTCTGGAAGTGTCTTCTGAGACACCGAGGCGACACACTGAGGGACTCAGGGAACTCTGCGAGGAGAGAGCTGTGGAAGCTGTTACTCCTCCTCTACCCCCTCAAGGCCCGTGTGTTTGGGGCACCACGGAGAATGCTGACAGTTTTTCGTGCCCGACACCCAGTCATCGTGGTGCCTTAGTGACCTGTGCGGACGGGCAGGGCCACCCGGGATGGGATGGGGGGTGGGGCGGGGGTTGTGAGCCAGGCGGTTTAGGACAGAGCACTCCAGACACAGCCGGCGTGTCCCCAGTCCTGCCGGCCTCTCTGCCTCGCCTCCCACCCCCCAGCTGCAGCCCTGCGCTTCCAGGCTGACCTTGGGAAACCGTTCTCACCCAATCAGGCCTGAGGCTGATCTCTGTTATACTCTGCGCTCCTTCTGGCAGAATGTCTACCTGAGACTCCCACGCGTGGGAGCTTCAAGGAAGTTCGTTCACCTTGTCACCCGCCTCCCTGACAGCGCTTCCGCTCGTACAGGGCCACAGCTGCGGAGCACTTGCACCCGTGACATGTGCCACTGGGGGCCTCGCTGCCCTCCCTGGCCCTGGCAGCTGGGAGCCCCTCACTCTCAGCAACGCCTTTCAAAGCCCCTCCTCTGTGCCAGCGTTCTTCTTCCTTCAAAATCTCCACAGCATCTCCCCAGCCCCCCTGTAACTCCATTATGTTTCAAGGGTGAACAGTTTTTGGGGGTGTAGTGCCAACACACCCAACTTCTTCCTCCTGCTGGGAATAAAGGCAAACTGACTGTTGCCATGCCGCACTCTCGCTCCAAGACTTTCAATGGCTCCCCGTTGCCTCTAGGAGCTTCTAGCTCCTTAAACTGGCCGTAAAGGCCCCCAGCTCCACCCCTTTAGCCCGGAGACCTTCTTCATGGCCTTCTCCACAGACCAAGTTCATGGGGCCCCTGAATGCAAGTCTTTCCTCCTCCAGAATGCAAAACCCAAGCCATCCCTAACACTACGGGATTCAGCCCAAAGGTCATTTCTCCCTGTTCTTCCAGGTAGGAAACAGTTTCCCTCCTCATCAGCGTTTTGATGGACTTTCAGTCTGGCATTCAATCTGATTTCCTCTGTAAGCTCGAAGTCAAGGGAAGATTTTTTTTTTTAAGTTCATGCCCCACCCCCTCCACCACTAGTGCCTTGTGCGTGACACTAACTCAGTAGACGTTTATCGGTTCCCGTCCCAGTGTGTCGGCTTTCTCCCGAAATTTCCACGAACTCAAGCGACGTCTCCTTCACTAGACTGAAAACCTCCCCCCGCGGGGTGTCTGCGATTTAAGGATCCCTCCCGTCCGCTGGGGGATTTCTTAACCGCCTGTTCTGACTCAGGAGGTCGGAGGAGGGCCGAGACGCGGCAGTTTTGACTGGCTCCCAGGTGATGCCCATGCATCACGTTTGGAGAAGCCCAGAAGCCACACCACCTGCGGGCCAGGCAACCGCTCACACCTGTGCAGCCGGCTGAGCGGCGGCTGAGCGCCAGGTTGAAAAGCGCCGTCCTCCCCGGGGAAGCGCCCCTCCGGGAAGACGTCGGCGCGCCCCGCGGCCCCTGCACCCCCCGGTGCGGCTCACGTACCTATGGTGGACACCACGGTGCCCACGAAGTAGAAGGCGCCCGTGAAGTCCCAGCGCGGACGGGTGCTGTCCACGCGGATGCCGGCCTCCGTCGCCTCCTCGTAGTGGCGGAGGAAGCCGCGCAGCTCCTCGCGGCTCAGGTTGTGGCGGCGGCTGAAGCCGGCCAGGCGCTCCTCCCAGCGCTGCTTGGCCTGGCGCTCGTGCGCCAGCTCCAGCGCCGAGAAGACGGCGGCGCCGCCCAGCAGGTACAGCGCGATGAGCGCCGCGAGCAGCAGGAAGCGCGCGTTGTCCTCGTTCAGGTGGCCCGGGCCGCAGCCGCAGCCCCGGCCGGCCATGGCCGGGCCCCGGGGAGCCCCGCGCCGGACGGCCGTGACCGCGGGCGGACTCTGGCCCAGGCCCCCCGGAGGTCGGCGCTCAGCCGGTCCGCGGCCGCGCGACCACCGGCTCGCCCATGCCCGCTGGGCGCTTCCCCGGACCGCCGCCGCGACTGCTCCGGTGGAACCAGCCCCCCACGGCCGCCCCGACTCCTGGTTTCGAATCCGGCTTCTCGCCGCCGCTCAGTCCTCCTGAATGCTGAAGGTTCCAGCGAGAAGCTGCGGAGCCCGCCTCTGCTCGGCCCGAGGGCGCGGGCGTTGTTCCCGCCCCGGCGCCCGGGGCGGCTCGGACTGGGGAGCGGGCGTGGCGCGAGTTCAGGGCGCACTCCGGCCAGGGTGAGTGTCCCCGGGAGCGAGGGTCGGGGGGCTTCGTAGGCGGGAGGGGACGGGGAGCCCCGCGGCTCCCATGCCTTTGGCCATCGCCTCTCGAGACGACGGCTGGGCCGCGGGGTCTCAGGTGGCGGGCGCTGCGGGTGGACCTGCGGCGCTGCGTCCTGGTCGCGGCGGCGTCGCTCGCGCCCCTCGGGTCTCCGGCCCCGCTGTCGGGTCTTGCAGGCTGGAACAGGTCCCGGGCGGGCGCGCCGACAGAGGGGCGGTGCAGAGTGGTGCTCGCGGGCCGAGGGGCTGGAGGAGGAGACCAGGAAGCGAGGTTGGAATGAGAGCGCGGAGGAAGTGAGGGGTATCTCCCCCGGGCAGCCTCCCCCGCCTGGCCCCGGCCCGGAACGCCCTTGGCCTCTGAGTCCTGCGCGGGAGCGTCCTCGGTCCGCACGTGTCAGCTCCGCGCGAGCGAAGCGCGCGCCCCCAGACAGCGCCAGATCCCGAGACGCTGCCGAGGACCGGGCCGGAGGTACCCCACGGCCAGGAGACCTTGACCCCGGAGAGTGCCACCTCCTCTGCCCGGACTTGGCGGCCTCAGTGCACTCCAGACCTTTCGCGCCCGCCGGGCTTCGTCCCTTACCCCGTGCAGACCAGCGGCAAGACCCCCCCCCCCCCGCCCATGCCCAGCAAACCGCCAAGGGCCTCCCCCACACCCCGAGACCCTGCCTTTCGGAGGGTGCTGGAATTGCGGCCCCGCTCGAGTCTCACCTCCGGAGGAGAGAGCCCCTCTGCTCCGCTTTGGCGGGACTGTCCCCCGGTCCCCTCCTCTCCTCAGCCTCGCCCTGCAGGGCGGCGCGGGGGAGCAGGGGCGCACGCGGAGCTCTGCCCGGCTCTGCCCGTGCGCTCCAGCGCGGCAACAGGTGGAACTGCGCTGCCCCCCGCGCCGGAGGCTCCACCCTGTCTCCTACCCCCGGGCCACGAGGGGCCCGCAGCGCTGGTCTCAGCCCGCAGATGCCCGGCTTTCGGCGGTCCCTCAGAGGGCTGCAGCTCCCAACCCCGGCGCGCTGATACCGGGAGTGGGTGCTGAAGAGGCGGGTCAAGAGCTTACCGGGCTGTGTGGGCTCCTCCCGGGCCAGGAGAGGGCGCTCCGTCCCTTTCAGACACAGCTCGCCCGCGCTTGTGCACCCAGCCACTCGCTGCCCCGGCGAACCACCAGCCCCTGGAACGGGGGAGTGAATATAGATACCTAAAGGAGTGGGTACAAGGGCATCTTCAAATTAGCCAAATTTTCCCTGCCTCCCGAGAGAGTGGTTCTAGGCTGAAGGCCCAACCCACCCACCTACACTCCCCGGGATCAGAGAATAAAAAAACATAGTCTGGATTCCAATATTCTGCCATTCATTGGAAGCCCCGATGCCGCGGATGTTACTCTCAGTTCCACAGTGTCCCCCTTTTATTTAGCCTACTGGGGGCAACAGCTGCAGGGGGGCAGAGGCCACTGGGGCACGTGTGTGCACCCTGGGTAAGTCCCGCGACTGCTGCTTCACCACTTTACTACGAAATATTTCAAAGTTGTAAGAAGCTTACAATGCGCACGCATATACTCAGCACGATGGTAAACTTTACTGTATGTGCTTTGTTACTATCTATCCATCTCTCTATCAACCCGTCTGGCTTTAAACGCATTCAGAGGAAGTTGAAGACGTCAATCCACTCCCACTCTCCCCCAGTCCTTCTCCCTACATATCACTTGAGTTCAATATTCATTTACAGATTTTTTTTCCCCCTTGGGGTAAAATCTACACCCAGTGAAATGCAAAAATCTTCAATGAACCATTAGAGGAATTCTGACAACTGCGTACACCTTTGCAAATTAAACAGCTACCAATCCACCCTATCACCCTGTTCTTAATTTCTTTCTACCACTGACTGGTTTTGTCTCTATAAGAACTTAGTTTTGCCTGTTCTAGATCTTCATATAAGTGTAATCATACAATTATGAACACATTTGTGTGTTTGTCTAACACAGTTTTTTAATATCTACCCATGTTATGGCTTAGAATAATTTGATCTTTTTTTCCCCTCCTAGGTTTTAACTGTTTGAATACACTATAGTTTTTATTTTCCTATTGACAGAAACCAGGGCTCTCAGAAATTTTTCCGTGATTGTAAATAAAACTGCTAGGAAATAAAAACTGCTTTTTTAAAAGATTTTATTTATTTTTAGAGAGGGAAGGGAGGGAGATAGAGAGAGAGAGAGAAACATCAATGTGCGGTTGCTGGGGGTCATGGCCTGCAACCCAGGCATGTGCCCTGACTGGGAATCAAACCTGCGACACTTTAGTTCACAGCCCGCGCTCAATCCACTGAGCTACGCCAGCCGGGTGGAACATTCTTGTATAAGTGTTTGTGGCTGTTTTTGGGTCTCTCGGGTAAATACCTAGGAGTGGAATTGCTGAGTCATAGGGCAGGTGTGCATTTAACTCTGTAAGAAACTGCCAAGTATTTTCCCAAAGTAGCTGTGTCTCCCAGCGATGTGCGGTGGTCCCCAGCACTCCACGTCTCGTGATCGTTTGGCAGTAGGTCGTCTTGGTTTTAATCAACCTGATGGATGCGTGGTGGTAACTCCTTTTTATGTACTTGCATTTCCCTGATAACTGATATGCTTGTTGGCCATGTGTGTGTCTGCCTTTGTAAATGACCTGTTGATATATTCTACCCATTAGAAAAACTGTTTTCTCTCGTGGGTTATTGAATTACAGGGATCCTTTACGTAATCACACCAGTCCTTTCTCAGCTACCTATCTTGCAAATATCCTCTACCAGCCCCTGGCCTGCCTGCCTGTTTCCTTCAAGATGCTTTCTGATGGATGGTTTTAATTTCGGTGAAGCCCAACATATTAATCTCTTATGTTGAGTGTTCCTTGTTTACTAAGAAATCATCATTCCCCTCAAGGTTGCATGTCTTTTTTTTTTTCCCCCTTAGACATCTTATAACTTCAGCTTTTATATTTGTGTCTATGAGCCATTTTAAGTTTGTTTCCAAACAAGTGCACCACACTAGTCAAGGCACAATGTATGTGCCCTGTCCTTAAAGAGAGAACGTCTTTTTATCTTCATCTTTTATCTCTATGAAGATGTCTGCTATTTCAAATGGCTTTCCTTCCTTACTGAATATTGAGTCTCTCTCTGACACACTCTCCCTTTAGCCAGAAGGGTTTCCTTCAGCATTTCTCATAGGGCAGGTCTGCCAATGCTTAGTTTCCTCCTCTCTGCGAATGCGGTCATTTCACCTTCATTCTGGAAGGATGTTTGCTGGATGTAGATTCCCGAGGGGACTTTTCTCTCGGCGCATTAGAGACGCTGCCGGACGGCCTTCTGGCCCCACCGTCTGCTGCGAGGCCGGCCAGTGGCCACGGCTCCCGGCTTCTCCCCATGTCTTCTCCATGAGCTCGGTCTCCAGTCGTTAGGCTGTGACACTCCCAGTGACGCTTTCTTTGTATTAATACGGCTGGTTGTTCACTGAACTTGGATCTGTAAATTTGTCATCCAAGTTGGCAAATTTTAAGCAATAATTTTCTCATCTTTGTCATCTGTTATTTCCCTCCTCATTGTCAGAGGCTTCGATGCCTAGGATTCCAATGACATGTAAGTTCACTTTCTGATTTACCCCACAGGTCCCTGGTATTCCCTCCCCATTTTTCCCAGCGTTTTTTTTTTTTTTTTGTCCCCCAGACTGGATAATTTTTATTGACCTATTTATTGACCCGACTCCCCTGGTATCTCCATTTTGTTACTTTGAAATTTCAGATATTATACTTTTTATTTCTAAAATTTCCATTCAGCTCTTCAAAAAATAACTTCTATTACTCTGCTGATTTACTGCCTTTTTTATTCAATATAAAATCTTGTTTACACACTTGAACATCAATTTCAATGGCTGCTTTAAAATCTTTAGAAATTCTAGGTTTGGTTTCCTTTGTCTTTTCTTTGGAGAATGAGTTGTTTTTCTGTTTATTTGTATACTCAGTCATTTTGGGTTATGCCCTAGATATTGTATATTGATGTATAATTTAGAATATATTGCAGAAGCTCTGGATTCTGTTATGTTCCTAGGAAAATAACTTATTATTTTTCAATACACAGTTAAACAAACTTGGCTGAACTCAACCACAAAACTGTCTCCCCTGTAGTGGGAAGCAGCTCAATTTTTACTGAATTCTTTTAGCCTTAGCTGTGCACAGGCAAGTCTGTGGTCAGCCCCAGATCTGAGCAGTTCACATACAGTCTGGGAGTCCCCTCTCTGGCTCTTTCCTGCTAGTTCCCTCTTCACTCTCAGAGGCTGCGATTGCTCCAGACCGTGTACTGTGGGCATCAAGGCACAAAACGGCAGGTTGTCCACAGGAGGTTTGCCTGTGCGGACCAAGACCTGACCTCCACCGACAGTAGGAACAAACAAGAACCATCCCCCTCACCCTTGCCCCAGCAAACCCACCCAGTGCAGTGCCTGTCTTAGTTGTGGACCCCTCTCCAGTGTCTGCCTGCTTTTAGTCACTTTCAGTACTTTTAAGCAGCTGGTTTTTAAAGTTGTTTCTGGAGCTTACACTCTGATTTGTGGAAGAGCCGGTTCAATGGCCATTTGG